CATTCTACTAAATAAGCTAACAGGCAAAAAATTCTACCTACTTGTAATATAACTTGATTTGTATATATTTTTATATATTAACGTTTAAAAATTGAGTCTTTTTATAAAACGTTTTAAAAAAATTCACTAGTTTAGTGGCCCGCTTGACCAATTTATATTTTTTCAATTATTTAAGGTTTTTAGTTGAGCCATTTCATTTGTCGAGAATCAAATAGATTACACGACATTTCAAAAATGGCAAAAAAGGAGGGAAAATTCAAAAGGTGAGGTTGAGATGAGAAGTTAGTGTCCGAGTGGATCTAGGTCACGATAGTTCAAGTGGTAGAGCAGCGGCGTAGCAAGCCGAAGGTCGTGGGTTCGAATCCCGCTCGAGACACTGACTTTTTTATCTCAACTAAAAACTCTTAATTGAAATGTTTTTAAAAAATGTAAATTGCTAAGGAAAATGAAAAAAGTCGGACAGATAAAATTTGTTTTAGATTTTTAATATCCATTTCAATATCGAGTATTTCCGCCTCTTGCCATAATTAATTAAATAAATTAATTACATCTCGAAGACGCCACGGCATACTTTTACCAGTCTAGAAATGTCTCTTTGCTGTAGGTTAGCCCATTCTTCACGAAGAGTCCTTTCAAGATCGTGGAATGTATCAAGATGGACGAGATCTTAAGCGCCTTTTGAGGTTATCCCATAAATATTCGATGGGGTTCAAGTCTGGAGTACGGGCTGGACAGACTAAGACCCTGATGTTGTGCTGTTGAAGGTTTGTACTATGCGAGTGACCTGTGGACGGGCGTTATCGTGCTAGAATAGCATTGTCGCTGATTTCATCGAGGATAGGCAACGCATGATGGTCGAAAATTTCATCCTCATAACGAGTGGCCGTCAAAGATTCTTCACTAACAACAGCCAACTCCTTGTGACTGTCCATTGAGATTTCCGCCCACATCATCACTGAGCTGTGTTTAAAAGGTTGGCTATGGGAAAAATTAAAAGCTTCGTACCTTTCATTTAGCCTTCTCCCCGCCTATCTGGACATCGTAGAGCAAATCTACACTCATCTGGAAAAAGTACAGTAGTCCAATTGTCTAAAGACCAATGGCTGAGTTCTGGAGAAAATGGGCATGCAACTCTGCGTTTTCTGGTCAATTCTGGTCCTCTTACGAGGCGCAAAGCCATCAGCCCATGCTGATTTAATCTTTTTCGAGAAGTGCGTTTAGAAATTTGGACACCTCGAACTTACTGGAGCTGAAGAATCGCTTGAACAACAGACAGGTGCCGGTTTCGCAAAATTCTCAAATTCCTGTGGTTCAATTACCTTAGGTCGTCTGTGGTAGGACCCCAAACGGCGTTTCGCAGGATTTCCTAGGGAACACCGATGGCAGTAGCCTCATACCTGATGGAAAGTCCATTCACACACCATGCGCAACATCCTCAGCACTAAGTGACATTTTTAAGTTTAAATTGAAATTAAGAAAACAAAGATGAAAACTAAACATTTTATTACTTCAGAATTCAAATGAGACTGAATAAACATTTTAAATTCCGTAAAAAGTAAACATTGAAAAATCATTTATCCTTGTTTTGGATTAAGAATTAAGTGTGTTTACCTCTAATTGATATTCCCAATTTAAAACATAGCGCAACAAATATTTATTGATAAAAACAATGAGACAAATTAAGGGCAGAATTTTCTTTATCGAGAAAAAAAAAATAAATTGGGAGGAATTTTTTGCCTGCCAGTGAATATGAATGAAATCACTTCAGATCAAGATCACTTTATTCTTCCTCCACTAAAACCTCCATAAACTATAGAATTTCAAATTCGAATGCTATCCGTTACTTTACATAAATGTGTGGTTTTTAATTTACCGTTAATTAATGATTATTTGGAGATCTTGATGTGCGATTTGATGTGACGTAGGTTTTAGAAAAACATTTCCTTTATCGTGCCAACGTTCCGACCTTCATTGAGATCATCTTCAGGGCCTGGGATTTATGAACGTTGTTTAAATTATAGAAATACATGTAGGATGTGAAAAAAAAAATTTCTATCATTGTAGACATGTTTATAAATCCTAGGCTACTGATGATGATCTCAATAAAGGTCGAAACGTGGCACGATAAAGGAAATGTTTTTCTAAACCTACGTCAGACCAGACCGCATCTCTCGATCTTCAAATAACTTTACATTAAGTCCACCATGTCACAAAAATGTACTAGTCGGATAATCGATCGTTGTGTAATAGCACATTTTTAGGTATCAAATTTAAACGACTGATATGTTTTGCAGCGTTAACTTGAACAGAGAGCCAAGACAGCTGTGCCTGAGTGATTCGATCAAAATCATCATTGGAATGAGACAAATAACCAGTATGACGATTGAACTATTTAAGCGTAAAATGTTCAATCGTAGATGGAACGCTAGATGAGCATTTATCGCGGTGACGTTGATTAATTTTCGAATCAGCTTTGAACAGCGTCATACCGAGAAATTTATTAGTCGGGAACAATTTCGTTGTTCACACACAAACACATGTTTTAAAAATGTCAAGAGCATGATGTTCGCAGACGACCTTCAAGCACATTGTTCAGATAACAAAGAAAATGTGCATGCAATGGTTGAAAAGATGAATAACGATTTAAAAGAACTAAACAGATCGTGTGAACAACATAAACTATGATAAATGTCAAGCAATGCTGATAGGAACTAGAAGAAACTTAAACTATATAAATGTAGGAAGTGTAAATATCTTAATAAACAACCACAAAACACTGCTGTCCAAATCATTAAAGAATCTTAGTATCACAGTAGGTGAAACATTGTCTTGGTCAGAACAAACCATCGATATTTGTAAAAAAACTTTCCAAAGCCTTGGGAAAAATCCAGATTGATCATCCACCTGAGGTAAAATTACAAATTATAAATTCTATGTTGTTCCCAATCTTTGATTATACTTCCCTATGCTATTCTAATATAAGTATAACAAAAATTAGAAAAACTACAAAATGCTTGTATGAGATATGTTAATAATTCACTAGTTTTCGTGGTCCGCTTGACCAATTAATATATTACAATTAATTAAGGTTTTTAGTTGAAATAAAAAGTCAGTGTCACGAGCGGGATTCGAACCCACGACCTTCGGCTAGATACGCCGCTACTCTACCACTTGAGCTAAGGTGACTTCGACATTTGTCGCCGAGAATCAAATAGATTACACGACATTTGAAAAACGGCAAAAAGGAGGGAAAATTCAAAAGGTGGGGTTGAGATGGGAAGTTAGTGTCCGAGCGTATCGAGATAGCTCAAGAGGTATAGGTAAGGTCGTGGGTTCGAATCCCGCTCGTGACACTGACTCTTTTATCTCAATTAAAAACTTTAATTAATTGAAATCTATTATTACTCAAATTAACAAATATATTCGTTGTTTGATAGAAGCTTTTAAATGGCTATGTAAACAGTGGACATAACGTAATAAATTCAGCAAATCTGCTAACAGTAAAACAAAATGAAAAATAAATTGAAATGTAATTTTATTTAAAAAAAATAACGATACACTAATATTTAAAGAAAACTAAATTGAATTGAAAAATAATATATTTTAAAACATTTTATTGTATTAATGAATTGTTTTATTGAGAGAGAGGGGAGAGAGGAAAAACAACGAAAAACCTTAATTAATTGAAAGATATGTTTATAATATCGAACACCATATTATGCCAAAGTAAAAATTTTAAAAATTAAAGAAAGAAGAGCACTAATACTTGATGTTCTTTAAAAAATTATTAAAAAGACAAAAACCATCATATCTGATAAAAACTTTAAATTGTATAAGCCTATCCATAATAAAAATACTGGATATGATAAACATAAATTTATATTGCCTAAAATTAGAACTGCTATCTACAATGCATCTTTTCTAGTAAAAACAATCAATAATTATAATTATTCAGAAATCGTGAGATGCAGTCTGGTGTGATGTAGGTTTCAGAAAAACATTTTCTTTATCGTGCCAACGTTTCGATCTTTATTGAGATCATCTTCAGGGCTCAAAGTGNATATATATATATATATATATATATATATGTTATACTATACTACTGTACTAGATTATGTACTATTTTGTTAAGATTATTTATTACTAAATTTTCTATTTATTACCTTACACTTATATTGTTCTATTTAAGCCTTCATTAGAAAGAATTGTAACTTGTAAAAAATGAAAATTATAATTAAGAAATTATGACAAATTGATATAATTAACTGTTAGAGCTGAATAAAATTAAATGCTTACATGAAGTTTCCTAACTTCGGTAAGAGAGGACCCTATGGTCCTATGTAAGCTTCAGGTTAATAAATTATTCATTCATTCATTCATTCTATCTATCTATCTCCCTCCCTCTCATTCCCATTTTCAACCTTCTCTCTATCTCTCTCTACTCTGTCTTTCTCTATCTCTCCCTCCTTTATTTCTCTCTCTCCACTCTATTTCTAAACCTCTCTCTATTTCTCTCTCTCTCATTCTCCCTCTCACTCTCTCTCTCTTTCTCTTCCTCTCACTCTATTTCTCTTCCTTTCTCCCTCTCTCTCTCTCTCTTTCTCTTCCTCTCACTCTATTTCTCTTTCTCTCACTCTATTTCTCTTCCTCTCTCTATTTCTCTCTCTCTCTCTCTCTCTCTCTCTCTCTCTCTCTCTCTCTCTCAATAAAACAATTCATTAATACAATAAAATGTTTTAAAATATATTATTTTTCAATTCAGTTTAGTTTTCTTTAAATATTTGTGTATCGTTATTTTTTTTTAATAAAATTACATTTCAATTTATTTTTCTTCATTTTGTTTTACTGTTAGCAGATTTGATGAATTTATTACGTTATGTCCATTGTTTACATAGCAATTTAAAAGTTTCTTCAAACTACGAATATATTTGTTAATTTGAGTAATAATAGATTTCAATTAATTAAGGTTTTTAATTGAGATAAAAAAGTCAGTGTGACGAGCGGGATTCGAACCCACGACTTTCGGCTTGATACGCCGCTATTCTACCACTTGAGCTATCGTGACCTCGATCCACTTGAACACTAACTTCTCATCTCAACCCCACCCTTTGAATTTTCCCTCCTTTTTGCAATTTTCAAATGTCGTGTAATCTATTTGATTCTCGGCGACAAATGTCGAAGTCACTATAGCTCAAGTGGTAGGAGCAGCGGCGAATTTAGCCGAAGGTCGTGGGTTCGAATCACGCTCGTGACACTGACTTTTTTATCTCAACTAAAAACCTTAATTAATTGAAAGATATTGTTTGGTCAAGCGGACCACAAAAACTAGTAAAAGTAATATTAGAGCAGAGTTCCTCACTGAAGATGACGCAATGCCGAAACGCGTTTGAAGAACTCAACAAACCCGCGAGTGAAGACAGACCGCGTAAGTGACCCTTTGACGGTTCTGCATTAATATGGCGGAACGTGTTGAAATAAATGTATTTTTAAAAAAACCAGCTCAGACGGCTGCGTGCTGACCATTAAGAACACATGACATTTTAATGACGATGTCGGCAAAGAAATGTTACGCAGAAACACATTATATTAGAAACATCTATTACCGTGGTCAGACGGCAAATAAATCTTGTTAAGGATTTTATCGTGAAACGCACACGTACGCAAACATATTCCCACACACGCTTGCATCAACTTAAAGTACCGATTTGCAAACCCTTAACTCTTTAAAATTTCAATCCGGGTAAAAGCCCAGTTTTGAACAACACTTAGTTACACAGCATGTAGGTCACATAGATCCGTGATTTCAAAGTTAAATGAAGCAAATTACGGCTTGCGTAACTTAATCTTAACGTACCTGATGAAACTGCACATGTTATCATCAAACGTCTAAAACTGTCGTTTGTCTCATGACTCTGGAAGGGATTATACAATAGCAAAATAAATATTATATAAATAATCAAAAATATACACAATTATATAAAATAAATAACGCGGGGTTTGTTTTCCATTCTCGTTTAATCCTTTTCTTCAAGCTTTGAGAAGTATGAAATCCAACTAAACAAAGGATTTTTTTTTATTTACAGTAAATTTAGCCATTATCATTGAAAATTTCTTGGTCTATCTTATAGATTCAACCAGCCTGGCAGTAGCTTATAAAATCGGCTTCAACTTATTTTTAAAAAATTATCCACTGTAAAATTTATAGAATTCCAATACAACTTCACACAAAAATAAAATAAAAATGAGAAACTTAGTTTTTTTGCAGGTGATGTTCTTTATTGACACGAACCCAATTTATTCTAAATTTATCTCTCTAGATAAAATTCTTTATATTATCTTTTTCTTTAATTACTCGGTGTCCCGTAGACTTGAACTTTTTCTCATTATTCTACTGCTTTGATTCAGCATGTGACCTTTAACGTCCTCGATTTCTCGAGGCCTTATCGTATAACTGCCCAAGTTATTTATTTAATCAATTAACTTTTAAATCGCATCAGGCGTATATCTTGTATTAAGTAGGTTATAAAGAAATTAGCCTTCTCGACCTAGGAGAATTGTAAATAAATCGAAAGCCGATAGAAATTCTTATAATTTTTTGTGCAACTAGAATGTACTAGAGATTGTATAATTTAGTAGTTAACAATTTGTTATTTTTACTGATTATTTTTTATGGCGTGGCTATATTCTCTCTTTCTTATCGGATCGGGCATTTTCTGTACAAGCCCAAAACATGAGCAATCAAACTCATTAGGGAAGTATATTTCGGTCTTTCAAGCAGAAATACTTGCCATCACCCTTGTGCCCTTGAAAACCTTAAAAGAGGTTAAACTGGCAAAAAAACCTCATAAGATCTTATACCCAACAACCGAAACATTAGTATGTAAAAGAATCACATCAAAATTAGTCAGTGAATGCAACCAAAATCTCCAAAACCTGGGGAAACACAATAACCTGATATGTTGGGTGACAGGGCACAGAGGAATTTTGGGTGTCGAGAAAGCAGACAGACTGGCCAGAGGAGGATCTGCAAAACCATACAAAGGCCCAGGACCTATACTTGGGGCAAAAACAAATATAGAATCCTCCATCGCAGAATGGATCTAACCAAAACAAAAGGAGAAGTGGATAAACTCTAGCGGCGCTAGACACAGTAACCATGATGAAACCTCACCAAACACTGGCAAAATCACTGCTGCAACTGGAGAGGGCCAAACTCAGAGAAGACATTGCTTTACCGTATACTCGGTCGTCCTTAAAAGGATGAGGATCCTTCCGGCCTTATCGGACGTTTTGATTCTCAAGATGAGAGCTGACGCACCTCCGCATAAGACAGAAGTGTGTTACAGCCGCAGCATTGGTGTAGAGGCAGCTCAGCACCGAGGGGCCAAGACAACCTCGCTCCCCGCTTGCCCATTCCGAGTGGCCGGGTCCGCATTAAGCATCGAACCGTATGCCGCGCTCAAAGGGCTACCTAGGCCGAAATACATCAGCCTGGTCTCCCGCGCACTCCTTAGATAGAGAAGGCCACTCTATCTCCCAGATTATTGGTGCTTCCCTAGCGTAGAAACTACCGGATCCGCTCCGGCCGCGGTTTCGTTTAAAGTGAAATTGCTAACCACCCCCTAGAGGAGACTGCCTACGGTAAAAGCCGCCGATCGACATTACGTACACCTGCGTGCACAGCGCACTGGAATAGGTGCAACCGATTCACTACCCATTTCCATCCGCCACGTCTCACGAATTCGAGGGCTCCGTCAGCGTATTCTGACCGTCCTCAACTCTATACGCTCCGGTCCAATCCGTCGTATCCCGTGAGGCCGGGTGAATAACGGTGGTCATACGCAAGTTTCGCTCGAAGAAACAAGACAGCCTCTTCTCTAAGTACCCACCAGGGGTCTCACCACGGCCAACTACGATTCCATGCCCAGTGTAACAGGGGCTGAACCTTGTAACATTTCTGTTACCCCTTAGCACATATGGTTATGCACCCTCCCCAGTCTATGCAGACAGGATCTGGTACCCTAATCCACGTATGATTCAGAGTAGACACTGGCATCTGAGAAAACATCTACACAACATGGGTATATACAACAACCATTCCATTTGCAGATTATGTATTGAAGAGGAGGAAACAGCCAACCATATCATCTTCGAATGCGAAGTTCAATGGACAACCTAACATGCGAAAAAACCTAGGGAATGGAATTGTAGCAGCGACAGTCAATGACCTGATACTTCTAAGGAGAAGGACTGAGTCTATTGCACTGAACTAAGGAATTAGGAAGGTACATAAGCCAGAAGGCTGCAGTGCCTGGGGAGCACAAAACCCGCTTCCTAGTTTCCTTATCACCGTTCCATACCATACCACATAGGAAATGGTCCGATGTCTCTGCCATGATAGATGCAAGTTTGTATCTCAGTTTTTCCATATTGTAAGGTGTTAAGTAAATAGTTCTTGCAACGCCTACTAATTTCTGAACTTATTCATTCTGAGAAAGATGTTGAAGAGCCGCTTTGACTGTTTTGCATGTTGCGAATTAATCAGGTAGTCATGTCTTTTTCCAGCAATTCCGCTTTGGGGTCGTGCTCCTGCTTTCACTAGTCTTTCAGCCTGTACGTTGATATCCTCTCAGCTCCTGGCTTAACATGTTACGCCTTAACATCAGTTACTTGATTCCATTTTCCAAAAAGTTGGATAAATGTTAGATGTTCCCGTGCCGGCTTTGATTTGAAGGTGAAGGAATCTCAAAATCTTTAGTGGTTCTGCGCAGTCTGTGAGTTCACTGGCATCTGAGAAAACATACAACGATGATCTCATCTGCAGATTATGTAGAGTGCACCCTTTAATCTTTTTAAAAATATTTCTTATGCATTGAATTATATTGCGTGGATTTCAGCTGGCAAATGTGGGGCTAGAGGTTTCGCTAGGTCAAGTTACACTGTAACAAAGCCTTTCTATTTTTTTTTTTTTTTTTCAAACATTTTCATTGATACTAAATAAACCATTTTAGTCCATATTTTACAATAAACATCCGCCGTGTTGACTAAACGGGAGATAATTCAACGAAAAGGATATTAAAGAGGACATAAAAATCCTCCCTTTTTCTAGGATTGTAATAAAAGGTGGAATTTAATTTTCAAAACGTCCTCGTTCACATTCCATTCTGCTTAAGCACTTTTGAATAAAATTACAAGTTTTTACGCCACTATTAATCTTGTTTATAACGAAGTCATAAACAGAGGCTATATTGGGATTATTAACCTTTTCCATTTTAGGTCTTTTTTTAGGTCTCTAGGGTACATTTATAACTGTTATTAAATCCTAAACGCTGAGAGATTTTATAAATTTATTGCTCAAGTGTAATGAGTCTAAGTGTAATTGAATTTTATCATCAGAATTTGTAACAGAATGAATTGAATGAGACTCTAGTTAGTGAAATTCATATAAACGTCTGTTTTAGTCAGATTTTTCAGAAAATTGAAAATCCGAAAAGATTTTATTAAACGGGAACGTTCAGGAAAGAAAATATTCACTTGTATGTTTGTACTTATTCGTGTTGATTGAAGTAAATTTTTTGTTTACCTATTCCTTCATTCTTGTCAGGTAAGTAAACCACTGTCAATTGCGTTTTGTTTACATTCTAATTTTCATAGGCCAGACCGTCCAGATTTTTGATTCTCGACTTATCTATAATTCACGGATTGGCCCGCTTCACCGTTGGCACGAGCCAAAAAAATTGGACGTCGACCAAATTCCCTTCGTATAGGGAGGCCTAAGCCGGTCGCAACTGGTCGACCAACTGGGCTTAAACAGTTAAAAAATGCACTTAACGTGTCAGACTTTTTTTTGGTGGGGGGGGGCTTTGCCCTTTGATATCGTGTACAGACGGTTTAGGTTCAGGATCTTAACAACATTTGCACTTAGACGAATTCCAATATAATGAAAGTTTCTATGACCTCGATAATGCCAGTGAGCAGTCTAATAAACAAATTGTTGATAATTAGATTTTACATAATCGAATATTTCATAGAAAAGAGGAATTTTCTTAAGAGCGAAAACAAGTTTAGAGATTGTAAATTAGACGATCACAATAGACAAAAACATCTATTTTTAAGTGCACTTAGTTCTACTGAATAGAAAGATTGCAAGAAGCATTTGCATTTATTGAATTTATCACCTATCGTTAAAATAAATCTGATAATTCGTACACGGAGAGTCCCTTTCGTACCAAGGAATTTCGGTATCTGAAGTGGTGTTACATGGTGAAGTTTTAAATCCCTTATTTATTTTTTTACGAGGGTTTGGAACAGCAGAAGTCAAATAAACCCTCAGGGTGCCAGTGTTTTTGAAAAAAAGCCCACCTTACAGTGATGAGTGCCGTGTCAACTCCCAAACCATTGCGGCCACCGACTTAAGGGCGTCCCTTATTATTTTCTATATTCTTGTCCGTTCAACTTTTCACAAACTCTGTTCTATTATCATTATATAGGGGCAAAGATTTACATTGATGAACGCTGACGTGTTCTTTCACCTTCCAGGAAACTCAAGAAAACTTGAATTTAATTACTAAATTTGGAGGTCGTGAGATGCGTTCTGGTGTGACGTAGGTTTTAGAAAAACATTTTCTTTATCGTGCCAACGTTTCGATCTTTATTCAGATCATCTTCAGGGCCTGGGATTTATAAACATTGTTTAATTTTACAAATACATGTAGGATGTGAAAAAAATATATATGTGAATTTATACAATGCTAGAAAATTTTAGTTTAAAAAAATGGAATTTATGCAATGCTAGAAAATTTTAGATTAAAAAAATTGAATTTATACAGTGCTAGAAAATTTTAGATTAAAAACATTGAAATTATACAATGCTAGAAAATTTTAGATTAAAAAAAATGAATTTGTTCAATGCTAGAAAATTTTAGATTAAAAAAATGAATTTATACAACGCTAAAA